GGTCGCCTCCCGTCCTTCATCCTGATCGTGTTATTGGTGGTGATCGTCATTCTGTCGTTTAACTACTGGAGTGTGTCCACTAAGCACGGGCGGCTGCTGGACGAGCTGGCCGAGATGCAGACGCAGGTGAAGCGCACGGACGCGGCGCGCTCGCGCCTGGAGAAGAGGAACTCCGAGCTGATGGTGCAGGTGGACACGCACCGGAAACAGATCGACCAGAAGGACGGAGACTACAGCGTGCTGGAGAGCAAACTGCAGGCCAGGGATGCGCTGCTCAAAGCCTGCACCGATGACAAGGTGGGTGACAGAAAAGGACCACGAGGGTTTGTTTTTATACACGTATACAGTGGGTATAGATTCAAAATAATCATATTTTGTTGCTTTGCAGCCTGAAATTAAGACAGACACAGTTTTTGTTTTATCCAGCTGTATTTACTCAGTGCAACATATAACATCCAAATGAAAGATATAACACCCAACATGTCAGAAAAAGAAAAAAAAAACAGAATCACTGAGTTGGAAAAAGGATCACCCCCCCTTGTGTCAGTATTTTGTTGAACCACGGTTACTGTCATTTGAACTGAAACGGGAAGACAGGGCAGGACATATCAAGCAGCCCCGCCCCCTTTTTAAAGTAGCCAATAGTGTTTAGTTTATATCAGTCGGAACCAGACTTCTTTTTTTCCTCAATGGAAAGCATATTTACACTGTTTGAGTCGTTCCCTGTCCCCTATATAGTGCACTACGTGCCATTCACTGTACAGAAAATACTAATTCTGTGGACAAGTGACCGATTTCAGCCGCGGCTTCAGCGTCTATTTATAGTGTAGGGGGCGGGGCTTCGGATTCTAGAGAGCATTTGATTGGACAGAAAGTTTGATGAGAAGCTGAAGTACGATGTGACGTCAAAACAATCGTTGAGCCGTTTTGGCGGAAGTGACGAACTGCAAGCTTTGAATGCTTATATCTTCTAAATGTGAATTTTGTCACTGTTTTGGAGCACACTGCCTTATAGATAGCCTTAAGACTAACATATTGATACTAACACCCAAAAAACTTTAATTTTGATTTCATGGGGACTTTAAATACAGATCTCCTGCGGGTCCTTAAACACTCCTAAAGTGAGTTGTATCAAACTTAAGGCCATAAAACGTTTTTAATACGTTAAATGGTATAAGAAATGTCTTAATTATAATTTCAAGAGGTCTTACAGTTGGGGACGGAAACGGCCGGATTAAACTTCAAAAGGCAATAATAGCATTGAATAAATATGAGCGCTGCACATTTCAAGTCAAAATGCGGCGTGGATGTCTTTATTTGAACGCATCTGAAGGGAACCGACTGTCCTCAGAAATGTGTCGTTGGCATTTTAACTTCATTTGACTATAATTCCTGATAAAGCAGCGTTTATGAGGCGGAGCTGCTTTGTGTACAGCCGTTACCGGGGAAACCACTATATTTCAGCGCTCCTAAAGCGCCACCTCGTGGCAGAGAATGAATTTGCATTTCCAACAAGTCTTTCTTGCCGTTTATGGTCAGATCAATACAAATATCAACTTGTTTTTACGCAGCAAACACATAGTTGTAAATGAGAAAAAAGTTAATGTGCCTTCTAAAAATCTAAACGATTAAGACCGTAATATTTATACGTTTTAAATTAACATAATTTATATGCTAGATTTATCCCTTTTCATAAAATGGTCTAAAGGCTGAAATGCTGTTGTATAAGATTTTTGTTTTTGTGAAAACCTGTATCTGAACTGTAAATCATGTAATTTTATGCCTCAATACTGTATGTTACCATAGACATTGTCCAACCCCACTCATACTGTTCATTTTACTTATGCAGCTCTTAAAATGGGTCATAAATTGTCTTAAATGTATTTTTTTTTAATTCTGCAGATACACTGTAAATAGTGAAATAAAATTCCTTCCTTCATATTTGTTGATGTGTATTGAAAATATTTTTGATTGACATTTAAACTCCTAACTGATTTTCTATATTAAAAAAAAGGTCTTTTTATTTGGGCTAGTTAAATTAATTTTCGGGCTACTAAAATCTGAAGAGTACCTGCCCGAAGGGCTAC